GTACCAAGTACAATGGCAGATGCTGAGAGAAAATCTTGTTGCCTTCCCTCAAAGAGTTTACAGTATTGTGGCTAAGCAAAAGGAAAGACACAAATATCACCTAAGCTATTAAGATCTCTGATGGTGCACTTGAGGTAGATAATATCTTAAAGACATTTGGTTTTAGTTCCTGGAGGATATGAATCTAGCTGGGTACTTGAGAACCAGGAAAGAGATGCATGAACTAAGACCCAGCATTAAGACAAAATACACTGAATTCCACAAACTATCAATAATAACAGCTGAGCAAGTCTGTGAATCAAGCTAATATTAATATCATGAGATGAGGCATAAAAGGGAGAGGAAGTCGATCTCCTGAAGGAGTCTATAGTCTCTGGTAAGAAGTGATTTTTGAAAAATATGGAAGACTAATGAAGTGATAATGATATGATTAGAAGTGCATTAAACAAACAAACAAACAAACAAAAATCTCTAAACAAAAGGCACAGAGATTGAAAAGGAATGAAACTAACCCTATCTTCACATGACATGATTATCTACATAAACAATTCAAGTACTAATCAGGAAATTCAACAAAATTTCAGGCATAAAATCAATACATAAACAACAATCACATTTCTACATTCTAAAATTGAACATATTGAAGAAGAAATTTGAACATACACACTGTTTTCCAAAGAAATAGGTATAAACTTAATCAAACATGTACAGTATCTATATCCTGAAAATTTCAAAATGTTGATGATAGAGAGAAATACTTTATTGGAGAGACATACCATGCTCATGGATTAAATAACTAAACATATAAAGAGTTCCCAAAAGTCAACAAAAAACAAATAATCCAATGAAAAGTTTGGCAAAAGAGAGGAACGTGTATTTTGCTGAAGAGTTTATACAGATGGCAAATATATACATAAAACTGTGTCTGACAAAATTAGTCATTAGAGACATGTACATCATCAAAATGGCTAAAACAAAAAAAATTAGTGGTAAATTCAAACATTGGCAATAACGCTGAGAAATCAGATAACTTACATTTTACTAGTGAGATATAAAATGGTACAGCATTCAGGAAAATATTATGGTATCATCTTAGAAAACTAAACATATCCTCATTGTATGACTTAACAATTGTACTTTTGGGCATTTATCCCAAAGAAGTTAAAACTACATTCATACAATAAGGTATACATGAATGTTCACAGCTAGCTTTAGTCATGACAGCCAAAATTTGGAACCCATCTAATTGCCCTTCAGTGGATGAATGCTTAACTAAAATATGGTACTAGTCAATAATAAAAAAGAATGAACTATTGATCTACACAACAGCTTGGATGGGTCTCAATGGTAATTCTATTGAGTAAAAACAATTGCAAAAAGTGTTACATATTGCACAATTGCTTTTCTACAACATTGTTTATAGTACAGAGGAGGATAGGTTAGTGAACGACACAGAATAAGTCACAAAAGAGGGAGAGAGACAGTGTGTTATTAAAGGGGATCCTGTTAACAGAAATCATCTATATGTTTGCTTTGATGGCAGTCACACAAATCCTCATCTGTGCTAAAATTAGACAACCAAGTACAAACCCACAAAATTAATGTATGTGAAACTGATGAAATCCAAATAAGACCTGGTTATCTATAATATGAAAGATGTTATCTTTGGGGGTAACTAGATGATAGGTATAAGGGACCTCTTATTTCACACAACTACATGTGAATCTATACTTATTTCAAAATAGTTTTAAAAAAAATCACTCCATGGGAAGTGTAAGGGTAGCCTGGTAATGAAGGTGGAACATACAAGACTTTTTGGGTCATTGGATGCTTGTGCTTTTTTGGGGGGAAGCAATGAGGAACAGGACACAGTCCATGATGATCATCAGGATTTTTTTCTGGGGCTTTATTCATCAGGAGAGAGAACAGAAGGGTGATTGGGGAAGAGGAGAGATGGATTCAGTTTTGATCTTTGAGTTTATTTTCTAACAGCCAAGAATAGTATGTGAAATGGAAATACAAGAAGGAAGAATAGTATTCCCTGGGCAAGAGTAGTATAATCAGTGCTCTGGTCAGCTTTGTAGATACACTCTTCATAAAGCATTTTAGTCCATGACTGAATATGAAAATATTAGTCACAGGCCTCCCTTGGTGGCGCAGCGGGTGAGCTCTGGGCTGGAAGCTGTCCGCAGCCTCTGCAGCGCCGGTTCGATTCCCAGCCACCAGCGAGGGTCCCACATCGCGCACAGACCTCTCCTGCCACCCGCTGCTCCCCTCAGCAGTGTCTTCGTCAGTCTGCCTGTTCTGTTCCCGGCTCTGGCTCTGGTGAATTCTCTCACCCTCCCGTGCTTCTGACTGTACCCAGTGCTTGTATAAATAAATAATCTTAAAATAATAAAATAATATAAAATATCAGTCACCCATCTATCATGACTAGGAGATTTTTGAACTCAGAGGTAAAAGTAAATATATTCAAAAGTACCTGTGGGAATTTCAAATGTGGCTAGATAAAATGCACTGCCATTCCATTATGCGTCAGAGTGAAAAGGAATTAATATTGAGTACTGTATTAAGTTCACTATCAGTGTTGAGAAGTACTCTGGTTAAGCCTCAAAATAGACCTAAAAAGTTGCTTTATTCTCTACCATTTCTTTTTTAATTTTTAAAAATATTTTTATTTTATTCTCTACCATTTCCTAACAGAGAAGTAATTTGCCAAATGAAACAAAGCTGCTGAGTAATTGGGCTAGAATTTGAGTGTAGATGTTTTTATTTTCTAAGCCCACATTCTTTCCACTATATCAAAAAGTTTGTGGAGAGAAGCAGATCCTCAAACATTCTTAAGAAGTCCGGATTTTATATTCTTGCTTATTTAGGTATTTTTGGTAGAGTTAAATGTCTATATTTGCAAGGGTTCAGTTTCCTACAGGGAAATTCTGAAGGCTTTGTTTTAGGTTGCTTGCTCCACAACGCAAGCTAGCACGCTGTCATTGGCAACAGCTGCTTATGCCTCTCCAGTCGCTGATGCACCTGTCATGTTGATTAGGAAGGGGTTAATTTCCAGAGTAATTGTTAAGTTGTCCCCTCCTTTTTATTTTCTGGTTAATAAATCTTTTCTCCCAGGTTTATAGGCTATACACGTTTGTTAACAAGCTCTTTCTCTTCAACTAACAGATAAACAGCAGGTGTTTTCAATTCTGCACTCCCAAACTTACATAGTGCATTAGCTCCAATTTCATTAACTAATTATATGAGATTCCCTAAACCTCCAACCCCAAAAACAAATAGGCAAAAAAACAAAACCTGTCTTCAGAAAATGCTGCGTATGGTAAGGTTTGTTTTTCACCTTCTCTGGTGATTTTCTATATACATGATTTTTTAGTTTCAGATCTTTCCTTTGAGGTATTACATTTCAGAGTTTTATGGTTGGCACATCATAGCCAAGATCTCTAGCACTTGAAAATCAATTCAAGTGAACCTAACGCAATTCACTTACTTTGCAAACCAATAAGTCAAACCAAGCCTTGAAAAAAAGATACTGTTGAGATAGAAATTAGGCTTCCCTCCTTAATCAACATAGGTGACATTTCACTGTTTCCAAAGATCTTAATAATGATAATTATCTTTCTGTAATCTAGATTTAATTTTCAAAGGCATTTCAACAGGAAACTCCTCCTCTCATCCCACATCCCACATCCATCCAAATGTGAAGACTCAGGTCTAGCAGTAAATCTATATAAACACTAAAAAATGGTTGGGGGTGTGGGGGGTCTGAGGATGTTATGTGCTCTGATGCTGTGTGAGGTCAGCTCATTTTGATCCTAAACCTTTCGAAAGCATCCAAACCATAGGTGTCGGTTCAACTTCTCGTCGTTCGCGCCATCTAGTGGTCACAAATCCTACACGTTTGGTTTTAAGGAAGATTCCTAATGACTGGGCGGAAGGGGGGGGGCGGGGGGCGGGGTACTCGAAAAACAAAAAAGCTTGGCCGCGACAATTTCCTAGTCGCTCATCCCATCACTTACCCGTCCCTCGGACACCTCGCACTACTCTAACCCTCTGAGAGATGCGCAGAGATGCGCAGAGACCGGGAAGGGGACGCACGCCCCTGCATGCTGACATTTAGAAAGGGGCTCGAAATCCTTCCTGTCATTCGCAAAGGACGGGAAAAGGAGTTGTGGCCAGACCTAGACCGAGGAGACTGCCTGACTTTTCGGCAAGTTGGCTAGATGACATATTAACCCCTGCACCATTAACATCTGGTTTGAAAAAATAAAAGACAGAGAGGAAAAAGCACTTAAAAACTCCGCCACTGGGCTTTGCAGGTCTTGCTACCCAGCCGTCTCCAGAAGACAACCAATTCCTGCGCGTTCCGCTCCGCTCGCCTCCTTCCCAGCTTCTTCCTCTTTCCATTTTTTTTTTTTTTTCCCACGCTCGCCTTGAACCGGGACCCGGGCAGGCAGAGAAGCCGGGCACCGGTCCCCTCGCTCCTCGCCTCCACCAAAGCACCGCAGCCCGGCGCGTGCAGCCTCCCTTTGTTCACCGAGGCGCGCTCTCCTCCCGGGCAGCTCCACCTGGATGCTCTCCCTCGGTGACATTTTGCGCCGGGGCTGGTGGGTGGCCGGGGTGGAGCGAGAGGAGCCCGAGGGGGCGGGGGCGGAGAAAGGTCAAGCCGAGGGAAAGGCAAGAGCCGCCTTTCAGAACCTGCGTGGCGGGGCGCGCGCGCGCTTATTTATTTATTTTCTCCTTATTTATTGATCGCACCAGCCGAGCCGCGCGGGGAGCCCGGGGAGATGCAGGACCACCCACTGGCTGGGAAGCCGCGAGCCGCCCTCCCGCGCCCCCACGCAGCCGAGCGCCGCCTGCCTCCGCGCTCCGGCGACTGCCCGCTCCGGCTCCGGCTCCGGCTCCGGCTCCGGCTCCGGCCCCGGCCCGGGCCCCGCCGCGCCGCCGCCCGCCCGCCGGCTCCGCAGCCGCGCCGCCCCGCCGCCCCGGCCACGGCTCCGGCCACGGCCCCGGCCACGGCGCAGTAAGTTGGCAGGAGCGAGTCCCCTCCGTCGTCGCCTGCCCCGCACCTTTTGAACTTGTTGCTGCGCCCGGCTCGCCTGCGCCTGGCTTTGGAGGTGAACAGGAGGAGGGAGGCGCGCAGGGAGGGGGAAGGGGACCGAGAGCTCGCTCGAGCTTTCTGCATGCTCCCTCGGCGCCTGGATTCGGCTGCTCGCGAGCCGCTGGCTCTCCTTTTCCCGTTCCGGGTGCACGGCGACGAGAAAGTCTCTGTGCAACTCAGCCCCGGCGCGCACTTGGCCAGGTAGGTACCGCGGGCGCGGCGCGTTGTGCGCGGAGGCAGATGCTGCTGCTGCCGCCGCGGCGGCGGGTGCCGCCAGCTCCCGGGCTCAGTAACTGTCACGCCGCACCTGAGCTGAACTTGACGGCGGAGTGAAGGGGCGATTGGGCGAGCGCTTTGGCAGGCGCCCGGGTGCCCGGAGACGTGCAGGGGGGAAGGCGCTGGATTCACGCCTCCCGCCGTGCCCACCGCCCAGCGCCTCCATCGCTGCAAATACGGCCCCGAGTTGTGGAGGCGGTGACCGGACTCCCCGAGGGACGCGGGGCAGCGGCGGCTGTGACCGCAGCTCGGAAGCTACAACAACAGGTCGCCTCGTCGAGACTGCTTTGGCGGGAAGGGCCACTCGGAAGAGGGGGGTTTGAAAGAGCCCAAAGGGAAGGCGTAGGGGTGCCCTAATTCGTCCGAAGAATATCAGAGTGACTGTCCCTGGTCTTCTCCACCCTGCGAGACCCACACTGGCCCGACACTTTGCAGACTGTCTCAGGGGGGCTATCAGAGACACCTGTTCCAAGAACGCCTGCCTCTAAAGTCACAGGTGTAGTTATTTGCCCGAGGGGTGGGCTGAGCCAACTGTTGGAGAAGGTTTGGCCAGGTTCCGGTGGGCTTTGGTGGGAGGACCTTGTGTATTTAAGCTGTCCGCTCCACCACACCTGTCTCGGAGGGAAACCTGCCCTTCTGCAAACTGGGACTTCGCCAGGAGCCCTATCTTGGAATAGAGTGTGCTCCCCGGACCACATTTCGGGGAACCCGTCTTTATTGGACGGGAGGACGTGGCGACTTTGGCTGACCCCCAGTAGAGGCCTCCTCGCTCTTCTTGGCCGCCCCTTCGAGGAACCATGGCGGCGGGCGTAGCGGCGTGGCTGCCCTTTGCCAGGGCGGCAGCCATCGGGTGGATGCCTGTGGCCTCGGGGCCCATGCCAGCTCCCCCGAGGCAGGAGAGGAAAAGGACTCAGGATGCGCTCATTGTGCTGAATGTGAGTGGCACCCGTTTCCAGACATGGCAGGACACCCTGGAACGTTACCCGGACACTCTGCTGGGCAGTTCCGAGCGAGACTTTTTCTACCACCCGGAGACCCAGCAGTATTTTTTTGACCGTGACCCTGACATCTTCCGCCATATCCTCAATTTCTACCGCACCGGGAAGCTCCACTATCCTCGCCATGAGTGCATCTCGGCTTACGATGAAGAACTGGCCTTCTTTGGCCTCATCCCAGAGATCATCGGCGACTGCTGTTACGAGGAGTACAAGGACCGCAGGCGGGAGAACGCAGAGCGCCTGCAGGACGACGCGGACACCGACAACACTGGGGAGAGCGCGCTGCCCACCATGACTGCTCGCCAGAGGGTCTGGCGGGCCTTCGAGAACCCCCACACCAGCACCATGGCCCTGGTGTTCTACTATGTCACAGGCTTCTTCATTGCCGTCTCGGTCATCGCCAACGTGGTGGAAACAGTGCCCTGTGGGTCGAGCCCAGGTCACATTAAAGAACTGCCCTGCGGGGAGCGCTACGCCGTGGCCTTCTTTTGCCTGGACACGGCCTGCGTCATGATCTTCACCGTCGAGTACCTGCTTCGCCTGGCGGCCGCTCCCAGTCGTTACCGTTTTGTGCGCAGCGTCATGAGCATCATCGACGTGGTGGCCATCCTGCCTTACTACATCGGGCTGGTGATGACGGACAATGAGGATGTCAGCGGAGCCTTTGTCACGCTCCGGGTCTTCAGGGTCTTCCGGATCTTTAAGTTTTCCCGCCACTCGCAAGGCCTGCGCATCCTGGGGTACACCCTGAAGAGTTGCGCCTCCGAACTGGGCTTCTTGCTCTTCTCGCTCACCATGGCTATCATCATTTTCGCTACAGTGATGTTCTACGCAGAGAAGGGGTCGTCCGCCAGCAAGTTCACCAGCATCCCTGCGGCCTTCTGGTATACCATCGTCACCATGACAACCCTAGGGTAGGTGCCATCGTGGAAAATGGGTTGGAGGTGGGATCTGTGTCAAGTAATTGTGCACCCATTAAGGTTACATGATAATTCAGAGGAAATAGTATTTGTCTCTTCTAAATGGGCTTCGGAAAGCATTATCTAAATGGTTTTGCAGAATTCGTGTGAGGTATGAGATGGATGTGATAGAGAAATTGAAGTACTTAGGATGCTGCTGGCAAATCTCGAGTGCTGAGGCCTGAAAGTGATGAATACACAGAGAAATGTTAGAATTCCTGAATTTAGGGAAATATCACCCATATTGTATGTGTGGGCACATAAAAATATAAAGATAATGAAAACTGCAAAATGTGTGCCCAAATAAAGGTATGAATATGCACAGTATATATGGAAATGCCTAGAATGGGCTTCAGTGTATTCAAATGAAAAGTTTCCTTGTATATGTGACTCACTGTTTTCATTTGAAATTGATTCTTTTGGCATGCATTTCCCTAAGAACCATAGTTCTTATTTTAAAACATTATAAAGCATAGATTATGGTTATTATTATCAGTGGATTTTATAATATATATGCATATCTATGCATTTTCATGTTGCCTGAGAGGTTATGCAGTTTTTTAGATTATCGGGACTGGAGCTGATCAACTCTACAAAATGTACTGGAATGATATTTGCAACGTATTTAAGACTCTAATTTCATAGTTTCATGTAAAGAAGCAAATAACTGACTTTTTTTTTTTAAATGGAAACTACAGAATCCATCAGGCAATGGGTAATGACTGTCAGATACACATGGACGGTAGGTAGGGTAGTGTCTTTTGAGACTGGTGGTCACCAAGGGCTGGTTGCATTATAGAATTCTGGGTACTTACTTCCTTCTAGAATTATTTTGTGCATTCTTTTATTTGGGGGTAAAGGTGTTCTGCAACCTAAGGGACATATTCTAAATTAATGTTTTCTAGAAAATTAATTTTAAAAGAGAGTAAAGGTTTTTTTTTTTAATGGTAGAATAAAGGAAAGGTATGAAATAATTAACAATGTCAATCAAATTGTAGTAAAGTAGCAGCATTTACATATTAGAGAATCTAATAAAACAAAATGGTCAGAGCATTTTACTTTTATGTGTTCTCAGATAAGCCAAGTAGTGATGTTAATGCCCTTTCTTCAGCTTTTTGCTGCTTTTCTTGCATAGTTAATCAGTTCAATAAAGGTTTGGTAATAGCTGTAAGAAAAAAGTTATTCCCAAGGCTGATTTTTAAGTTTTGTGTTTCTGGCTAATTTAATTGCCTTCTTTAAATGATAATGTGGTTAAAGTCAACTTAATTTTATTAGGCATTATGTTGAAGAGAATTTCTCATGTCATATGGCCAACTAATATTTTATATGTGAAGAATTCTTGGTTAAGTTAATGAAGAAATTAGGGTGAAATACAATGACTTATGACTTTGATTTAGTCTCATAGTTTTTGAATTAATGAACTTAAAGTCCATATTCTAGTGCTTATATTTCTCTTTTATCCTGTTGCTAGTTTGTGACATGTGTTGAAGATGCAGAATACCTTAGTAGTATAGGTGTTTATTTCTTATCAGAGAGGTATATGTGTATGAGGTGGTGTGTTTTTTTTGTTTGTTTTTTGTCATTTGATGTATTTACCAAGAGCATTTGGACAGTGCAAATTGCTGTAAGGGCTTCAAACTAGAAGTAAACATGAATATGAAAAAAGACTCAGTGTTAAGAGAAAATAAAGGAAGGAATATTAAAGGGAAATATGTTTTAAAAACTTGTTTTCAATGGTAGTGATTTTCATAAAATATCAGTGAGTTAGGTTATTACTATATACTGTCTGTGATTTAATGTAGTTATTATAATAATGAATGTTGATAAAATGCTTTTTCTTCCGGCTAGAAGTTCTGGTCAGTACATGAGAAGTTAGTATTATTAAAAATTTGTTTCCTGAAATGACTTTTGAAGTTTTATTTTAAAATTGATTTTAGATTTTGAGGATTTTAGTGATAACTTTTGTTATAGAAATAAAATGCTTAATAGCATCTATTTTTGAAATGATTTAAGAAACTGAATTATAATACCTGAGTATAATTTATGAAATGGATTTAGTTCACATTTTCTATATGTGAATGGATTAGAAGAATTAAATATACTTTTGGAGTTACTTTTTAGACATAAGTTCCACTGAAGTTGAAAATTTTAATTTTCAGGAAATTAAGCTAGTTAATGATCCTGATGCAATATAGCAGTAATACTTTCAACATGTAGAAATGTTGATGGACTCAAAATGCACTTCATGTATTGGAGAATATATATGAACATTTAACAAAGCATATACTTTATAATATAGCAGTGTTTCTTAAGCACATATCTTAAGTTTCTCATCAGAATGTTTTGTAATCTTATTTTTCTTGGAGAACTAGATTTTCAACATCCTGCCTTTTTTGTATGTTGTCTTTGGTTGCATTGTGCCTTAAAAGCTTTTTTTTAAGAATCAAGCATACTCAAAAAAGTTACTTCCTAATTTTTTTAACATTGTAGTTTTATATTTATAGAATGAAGTATGAGGTATAAACTTTCTGGAAAATATGCAGTAATGGAGCCAATTTCAAACTTTGGTAGATGTAGATGACCAAGAATTCCTTATTACACTTTCCAAGTTCTTATGTACATGACTATTATGTTTAATGGAGCTAGTGTTCATCAATTGATGATAATAGAGGTGAAAATAAAATTCAAAAATGGTGGTTAATAAAAATTCCAACTGATTCATTGTCTACTCCAGAAGAAACAGGCATGTGCTTTGTAAATCAGGACCGGCACGATTATCTGCTACCTCTCAGGCCATTTTTATAATACTTAATTCTTTGATCTGAAGAAATGAGTGGGTCGATCATAGATCTTTTTTGAGATTTCTGAAATCTGCAACTTTAGTCACAATTATTAGCATTTAGACCCCCTTTTAAAAGCAGAGGTCGTATTATTCATAGCATAGAACTTAAAAACTTGAGAGGTGTCTTTTCTGCAGTCCATATCACTTTAATTTTAAAACCAAGTTGTTTTCATTATGGGGAAGAAAGTTACTACATGACAGTTCTGTAAAGTTCACATTTAAAATGAAACTTTATGCTTTTTAACTACATAAATTGTGTTCTTATCTCTGAACAAATCTAAAAAAAGTTCACTTACAGTGCACATTCACTGGAAATAAATATGGTAGAATTATATCTATGCTTCAAGAAAAGTTTGCGTAATATTCTATTTGTAAGAATCTTGAAACTAGTTCTCTAATATTTCAATTATAATGTATTTGGTAAATTGCTTTTAAAAAAGGCAAAATATTTTTTTTAACTGGATTTCATCCTAACACTGTACCAGGGAAATTCCTTTATTTAGAGACACTTGGTTTACCCAGCTATTACTGAAAGTGAGTGGAATTATTTTCCCCTGTGTGAGCATATATTCATAAATCATGCAGAATGACTTGGTTTTATACTTATTTTATTTAATTACTTCATTTTAATTCTGATGTCATGTCTTTTGTATTTGTGTAAACTTTCCCCCCACTTATGCTCATCCTTGAAAATGAGTTAGTGAACTTCAAATTTCTTGTTACCTGTTTTCTGAATTCCTGTTGGAAAAACTTAGTTGTTATTTCTTTAAAATCCATCACCCTAAAAATGCTAAATTTCTGTGGCTTGCCTATAGTTATAATGTTAAACAGTAGCAGTGATTTTTGAAATTTCATCATTTTACTCTTTTTGAAAAAAGACATTTTCTAGGTATGTGTGAACACTGGGTGTTATAGTAATGTTATAGGGATACAGGAGCAATGAATTTACTCTACATTCCATTAATATAGTGCATTTCTCTCCCAGTTCTACTTTTAATTACTCACTCTTTCCACATTCCTCAGTATTGCTACTTGCTCTGCATTTATTCACATACTACTAGAGTTTATTATGATGCAGTTGATACAGCCCAACTGTATGTTCTCACCTAATCAATGGCCTGCTCTGCCATTTGGGGACAGGCTTCTTGACTGTGAGTATTTTACCTAACCTAATGGAGAGGAAAATAAATCATCTTTTTTGCCTGAATTACCAAAAGAAAAGTTGACCTGTGGGTTGTTAAAACTATGCAATTTAACAACTTCATGGAAAGAACGGGGATGATGAAAAGAACAGTCATAGAAAGAAAATGAAGTATTATTTTTCCTTCAAAGTTATAAACTGGTTTCACTCCCCCGCCATATGTCTTTTATTGTTTTCTGAGCACAAATGTATATGTGTGTGTGTGAGTGTGTGTGTGTGCGCGCGTGCACACGCATGAAAGAGCAAGAGTGAGAGCAAGAGGGAAGGATTGGAGAAAGAAATAGACTATGTTTTCCACTTGCTTTGACAGCTAGATTTAGATTTGATGGTGTGGGATACTTAAAAAAATCCCAGGGGTGAAATGCCGTGTCTCCGTTTCTATGTACATTTGTCCCATCCCTTGCTTTAATGGATTCCTTTGGAGATTTTTGTCCTTTAGTTTTCTCCTTCGATTGATCTTTTTCTATGAAGTCTTCTCAACCTTCCAAGCCTATAGCATCTATATTTGAAATTACAGTTGATAGTAATGAATTCTATTTTATATAAAATTATGGTTTTTCTGCTTGTCCTCTTAACTAAATCGAAAGGTTTTTATGGTTTGGGTCTGTACCTTTTTCAGTACTTACTATTACATAGTTCAGTGCTCAGATGTAGAAACGTCTATGTTAATGTTTTGCTGATCATGGCGAGATGATTCCTGCAGACCCTGAAGATCTCTGAGCCAGGAACAGTGCCCTCTCAACATTAACAATAATCTACTAATCTAAATTTTTGCTTTTTTCAATGTTAAAAAAAAAATTGAAATTTGTTATTTGAAAATATTGTCCTTAAATTTACCACAATTCATCCTTTTTATTTTTATCTTTTGACTAGGGAGGGCTAGGGCACTTCTTCACTCCTTGATCTGTAACA